TTTAATACAACAACTGCAAACGATTTGTCTTTACAAGATGTATTAAAGCTATTTCACCGCTGACCACTCGTATCTCGGACCGATTTTCTTGCCCCGCTCGTCGCCCGTGATGTAGTAACTCCCGAAGTTTGCGTAACCAAAACAAAATGGAAATCTGTGAAATGGGAAATGAACTGCAATCTCAAATCTTAAATTTCTGTCACAAGTAATTGAACCTCTGTAATCCTTTTCTGTTAGATATTGGTTAGTAGCAGTAACCGTTACAGTATAAAGGCTCGTAATCGTCCCTGCCTTTTTGATGAAGGACTCCTGTGGTTACGATTAAAAAACTTTCAATTTATGTAAAAGCCGTTTATAAAAGCCCAAAACTTCAAATTATTTATGCATTGTTGATTTTTTTTTTTTTTTTTAAGAATTCTTCCTCGAACGCTCGATTACTGAAAATGTTGTTACTTTCTCCAAACCTGTCCGCTATTTTTTTTGTTTGTTTTCAAAACTTTCCTCTCAATCAATATAGTTTCAACTTTTTGTTCTCAAATTTTAACTTTCTACACTGTTTGGAAAAACAAGTGTGTGTTCTCAGCCAAAGAATATGCTGAAATGTTTGCATTTATATTACTAAAATGATTAACGTTTGAATTCTAGCGGCCCTGCACATGAATTATTCATTTGCACCCACGGAACCTGCTGGACCTGATAATGACAAAATACGCAGGCAGGATTCTTATGAGCTACGACAACCACTGGTAACTTAGTATAAATGTTGCCTACAGTCATGCGAGCATTTTCAGTCATAACTCTCGTTCATTTGATTTCTTTCCACACAAGCTTTCTACTTTTCATATCAAGTAGAGTGATTTGCTTAAGAGGTGACAGGCATGCTCAATTATGTCGTTTTATTTTTCTCTATGTATGCGTGTTTTTTCTATGTTTTTTTTTTTTTTTGCATATTATCTTAATTTGAACTCCCCTCACTATTCGCCAACAAATTTAAATTTAGACATCTTTCTTTTAAATAGGCAAGCTACCTTAGCCGATAAAGAAGCGATTGCAGCTAAGTTTTGAAATGTGTTGTTTAATTTATAAGCGAAATTTTGGGAGCAATTTGAGATCCTCAGACTGATTAAAATGACGGCGAAGATGAAAGACCCCTGGGCTTAAGGTGGCTGATACCAGTTCTCATCTTTTTGATGGTTTGTAACTTTGAAAGAATACAACAAAAAGACTGACCAAGGCCAGTTGAACACTTTTACAGGGTTGAATTATATAATAATTGGTTATTCAAAAATAGGTGCCATTTCGTTACGAGCAGCTTCCATGGCAACGCTACCATAGGCTTATTCAGACCGATTTTTTAGCTTGTGGCTTAAATAATTGGGAAACTTACCCGGTGACCCCGTGTTCTTTTTCAGTCATTGCTTTTGACACTTGAATAGGAAAATGCACAAAGTTTTTAAAAAAATTATGCGGAGCAGAATTTCAGAACATCTAGAAAAAAAGGCAATTTAACACATCTCGCAAATTTCCTTCCGTAGCATTTTCTATTTTTTTTCTGATGATTCCTTTCGACGTTATTATCATATTGGAACAATAAAAAGAAGGGGTCACCGGACTTGTTTTCATGCAATAGCTTTCGTGAATTTAGCAATTTCCACGCGCCTTCTCGTGCATTTAAAAATCTGGATTCTATAAGATCGACATTTGCTCATGATCTGTTATAGCTACCGCTGACAATTGCGTGTGCTCGCGCGAGCGCCTACGATCTGATGTTTACATACGTAAATTCGCCTTTACTGCTATGATAATCATCAAACAGCTGTCAAAGACAGCCTCCCGGGCACATCTTAAAAATCCTACACACGACTTCTGGCTACATCATATTATTTTCCTTGAAGTTTCAAAGTCTTCTTTCACTTCAGGTAGATTACCCTTCACTTGGTTTCTTCTGTTTTCGCCGTCGCAAGATTTCAAATCGGTTGGATACTTCTTTTAGATATAAAGTGAAGCAACCTTTACTTCTCCGAAAATCGTCTTCTTTATCTTAGTTTCTATCTTCTGCATTCATAGTGGCCGCTCAACACATCAAATACACGCTCTTAGGTAAATTTCTAACAAAAGTAGAGAAAAATCCACGCGCCGCCATCTTTGTTTTAGATTTTCATCTTTTGATCTCGCGCTTCTTTAGCACGTTTCGCTCGTTCGTCACGCAAGAGTGACCTGTTCCCGGCGCGAGGAAAGTGGTACTAGCCACCTTAATAATAGACTATAGTTCATGTAATTTTTAGCAATGTCAAGTTCGAAGTATATGAGAATAAAATTGTCCATACTCTGACACTGTTATCGGTATCTCAGGTTTAACTTAGGCTGTAGTAAATGGATCAAGAATTCTCACGAAATATTTTATATTCACGAGCTTTGAAGTCAAATCATGAAACCACACACAGAAGCGTAAACTATGGGGTTGTTTTCTTGACAATACGAGCTTTTTTAATTAACAGTCTTAGTTTCTATATTAAAGATTAAAATGAAAGAAAAATATCAAACCGATCCAGCAAACTAGTTCCTCTTGTTACTGATCATAACGATAAGGGAACGATTGGAGTTATTAAAATGTACTCACTGTAAAAAGGTTTGAAGCAGTCTACATCGGTGAGGTCACACGAGAAAGATGTAAAAAACTCAGATGTTATTAGGAGTTTACTGAAATTTATGATGCCAGATTTTACAACACTAATTGAGACGAGCAGTAGTGAGGTTAATTTAAAAATGAATCACTGGTGGGTCCATGGAAGGAAAATATTTACATTAGATAATAAGAAAAGTTGCACAAACTTTAAAACTAATATCACTCCCTTTCAAATCCTCCACAACGATTTTTGCCTGTAATTTTGGCGAAGCTTTTAAAAAGAATCATGTAAATATGGTTCTTTTCAAATGGCAGTTATTAGAAGCTTAATTAGTTTTTGTTTTCTTGTTTTGCTTGTTTTTTTTTTATCAGTTAGAGCCTTGATTTTGTTCTCTAGTGTTGCGTTTGGTCTACATTATCTATCATCGTCAATTTGGCAAAAAAAGATTAAACGCCACGAGCATTGATGCCATAGGTTGTTTTTACTGAGGATTTTTCTTGAGCTTAACTAAAAATACTACTACTAATGTTGCCTCGGGAAGCTGGAATTTCTAATAGCCATCACCCCCACCCTCACTGATGACGGAGCCCATTTTACCCTTAACATTAAATCTCGACTAATTAAATCTCGAAAGCAGTAATTGTTATTTTAGTCAGTTGGACTCAGTAGGTCTTTATCAAAATGGATGTCAATTCAGAATACAACGAGTGAATGAAGTAGAAGTCCTCCAGTTTTGCCCCACTTCCCCTGCTTCAAAGCCCTTTGAAACATTAAAAAAAAGAAAAAAAAAAAAGAATGAATGAAACCCTTAAATGATATAATTACTTATGATATAATTTGCAAGCTTTAAGACAGCGATAAGGCAAAAAGTTAAACTGCTCTACAATTTTGAAAGAAAAGAAAAATGAGGCAAAACCAAATTTGACGCTTAAGAACCGCACATTGCTTATCAAAAAATTGACCAAACTTTTTAGAAATGCCATTCTGCTTAACCCAGCAGATTTTAACTTGGAATACGCTTGGCTGAATGGATTCCGTTGACGTTATGGTTAACTGATGAAAGCGATAACACTTGTCATGGGCGGAGCTATGCTTTAGAGAAGGAAGAAAGGATGTACCCCCTGCCTCCTTGTTTGTCAACCACACGGGCTACTTTTAATTATCAATTGCATAATCACTGACGAGACTCGTTGACATTTTTGGCGAGCTGACAAGGGCTATGTGCTCTCACTCCGAGGGAAAAGTTTTGCGTCTGCATCAAGCGTTCAGAAGCAAACAAACTGAGGATTAGAAAACCCACACATTTTGTAACTAACGAAGAATTGATATCACGAGCTATGTTGTCTTTTGGCAGCTGCCTACTCACTATTCACGGACTTTTTACCATGGTGTCCGAGTCTACCTGTAATAGAGGTAAAATTTAAGAATATTCCTGGGCAACAAAGAAATTGTAAACTGCGTTTATTCTAGGAAGAAGATTATGTAGCTCAATCAGATAGTGAACAGAAACTTCGATATCTTTTTGACCACGAATTATTTATTCCAGTTTGCTTTTTGACATTTTTTCAGCAACATTTTTATAATTAACTCATTGTAGACACCCCCTACCTCGCATTTTTTGTTGTTGTAGCCTTATATTTATTAAAAAATCGGCCATTTAATTAACAGAATAAAAATTTCATGTCCTTTATTGAATGCCTCACCTTGACAATCTTTAATAAATTATGAAATGGGCAAACGGTATCAAGCAAACCTTTTACATATTGAGTGAAAAGGGAACGAATCTTATACCCAAGTCACTAGTTATATGTAGATCTGTATGCTCTGTAAGATTTATTCTTTCTTGAACATCGAACATTAAAGAAAATGACGTTTTACTATACCATATGAACAAATCTTCACTTATCAAAAAAATACAAATTTGTTCAACATTTTGGGGCGCCTTGCTTCTAGCATGTTTGGTAGGCAAAGTTAGGTTATTAAGTTGAATAAATGGGTTTTGAATTTTTCTTACAGCTTTTGCTTAAGGCGTAATTCTAACAAGATATTCGACCAACCAGAATTTGTACATCTCTATAAGAACACAAACAATTGTGTTGAAATTTGAAGACTTTTTTGAAAAATGAAAACATGGAAATAAAAAACGGGTTCTCGAGGGTTGAAGAGGAAACTGTCTTCTTACAAACGAGAAATTTGTTTTTAGTAACATTTTTCGTGAAAAATTTCGTAAGGGTTATATGAGTGATAAAAGGGGGAGGGGTGGGGGGATGTGTGGGTAAACCCAACTCCCCTTAATGTTTTTATTCTTATTTTATTCAATCAGATACAGCTTTCAAAATCATTTCCTCCTTTTTTCTGTGTAGCTGTGACAGATTTATCTCATGCCTTTTTGAAAGACAAGTTCCATTACTTAACTGTTTCAAAGATACGGATGTTTTTAGTGACGGACGTGTTTGATTGTACGTTTGAATGTCTTCGTCACCCGTCGTGCATTTCTGTTAACTTGGTGAACACTTCAGGACTAGATGGAGCTATTTGGTGTGAGTTGCTGCCTTTTGATAAATACCAAAATTTCCAGAAGTTCAAAGCAAACCAGACTTCGCATCATCTACTCCGAAAGGTAACCTTTTGAAAGTTCTAGCTCTGATAATATAACAACAATATAAAAGCAAACAAACAGATAAGCAAACTAAACAAAAAATAGAAAACAAAAACAAAAGAACAAACGATGATACCCAAAGAAGGAAAACCCAGATACCATGAGAACAACAATGAAAAAAGCCAAGAAAAAAAAAAAAGAGAGAAAGAAAGAATACCAAGAGAATGTAAACCTCCAAAGCACGATAAAAGAAAAACGAGACTAGGCAAATTTTATTTTTAGGGTCAGGTCTACTCAACCCTTTTTTTTTTCTTGCTTTTTTTTTTGTTTGTTCCTTTCTCCAGCCAGAAAATTCACGGAATCAAAGGATTCAGTTTCATTATATTCCGATACAAACCGTATTTAAGTTGTTCCACATGCTTTTCCTACATGCATCTCATAAAGATGTTCAGCTTTTACCTCACTAGAAGGAACCGTCAATGCCAATTCCTAAGTCAGTAATAGAAAAACCTTATTATGTTCTTGTTTCAGTCGCAATGTATTTCTACGCCGTGTCAAAATGGTGGTACATGTTTGGCAAATTATCTGGACGATACATTCATATGTCATTGTAAAGACGACTTCATTGGAGAACATTGTGAAAAAGGTAATGATTTAAAATGAAGACTTTTCCCGTTTTAGAGGATGTGGATGGAGGGGAGTGGATACAAATGTCAGCTGTTAGTTAAATTTCGGCCATTCATTAGTTATCTGTTAAATTTTAGGCCATTTGTCAGTTGTCAGTTGAATAACTGTTAATAATTAACTTGGCGAGTTAATTATTACTTTCCGACCCTACATTTGCTTGATCAAGCACATATAGCTTAAACTCGAAAATTAGGTCGAAGATTAGTAAAAAAAGAACTCTTCTCTGAATTCTGGAATAAAATAATTCAAAGATCTTCCAAATGACTTTCAGTCTTTGTTTAAAGAGTGTTTAAGTAATTCAAAACTCTTCTGCACACAAACTTTTGTATGCCCGTGCGCAAAATTGAAACATTTCTTTTCAGCTACTTAGCCGGTGAAAGTGTTAGAAAGAAGATCGTCAGAAAGAAAACAAAGCTCTGAACAGTCCTCTAGCACAATATTATGGTTTTATGTTTTGTTTTAAATGCGTCGATTGCGATTGGCTCCGATGAAATGGTCGAAAAGGAATGTTCCTTTGTCTACTTTTCAATTTGGTTATTAGAGATATCTACTGTAGGCGTATTTTATAAATCCAAGTGAAAATAGGCGCGAATTGGCCGCCAGGATCTAGAAACCGTAATTGGGTAATATCTTTATCCTCTCGGTCAGAAAAGTCGTTTTCTGAGTCGGTTTCATATTCGTCTGCATTTTTTTGTACCTCAGTAACTGCATGCCTCTTCAACGTTGCAGTCTCAACAAATGTAACATCTGTCACATTCCCACGTTCCGAAGTAGCTTGAACGGCTCCTTTGTCGCTGTTGAGCCCTACTGGCTGAAAATCGTTTCCTAGTCCCGCCAACAAGACCATTTTGGTGGAATCTTGTCGCTATGTGTAGACGGCCGCTGGGAAAACCCCTTCCTTATCCTAGGTAGTTTCCTCCGAACTGCCCTTTGCCTCCAGTCAACGAACGATACTTCTTCACAACTTCTTTCATAGCACTTGCACTCTCGGGATTGATCGATCTCTTCTGAAGGTAGAGGTCGCATAAAATTGTAAACTCCGTGCTGCTCTGAGGAACAGGACAGCAGGATTTTTCATGAGTAAAATACTTGGCTGACCAGTTTGTTACTCTCTTCAGCGACTCCTTGGTAATTATTCCAAAGTCTTGGGAATACTGCAATATGGTGAAAGTCTCATGCTTAAAATGGGAAAATGCATGTATATTCTCCACATGTGCACAATTCAACGTCTTCGAGATGATCATTGTTTATTGAAGCTATGCTGTTGTGCAAGCAGCGTATTTCTGCTTCGAGAAGTTTTAGTGAGACTTGAGTTTTATCAGACACACTTTCTCAGAACGCAAAAAGAACTTTGCCTTTCGATCTCCTGAGTCCTTGAACGCTGTCCCGTCTTCAAATTCACCAAGTCTTCATTTCTTTACATGACTCCTAGTTGTTCTTCAGAAGTAGTTCAACTTCTAAGCCTAAGAAAAATCTGAGGGCTTATAAATCGGTATCTAATGGGTGTTCTATACTACAGAGTCGGCTTTTCACTAATATACTTATATCTATACCAAATACGAAACTATGACTAGTAGTCATTCTCATTGCTGAGAGTAATCGAATCACAAACCTCACTATTGACTGTGATGCTGTGGAGTTCTTGTCTACTCTCAACGAATGACTCTAGAAAGCTGGCTCAGACTCCAATCAACAGATATCAACCACATAGTGGCGCCATACGAACGACCTACTTACGACATATCCACAAGAAACGAACCTATCATATTGCCATCGCATCGAAACTTCAACATTTTGATTCTTTAATCAAATAACAGTAATGAATATATAAATAATAATAATCCTTATCTAACTTTTTCCCTGAATTTCAGGTGCAACATCATGCAAAGAGCTGTTTGAGGCATACAAGTAAGTCATTTGTTTTAGACAGGATTTTTTTTTCCTTTCTAAAGTGGCTTTTCGTTACATATAACACCAAATGTTACAGTCGTTAAGATCGTCTCTTACATATGACTATTACGTGCATGACATACTTAGCTGGCAACCGCATAGCTCTGTTAGCCTGCAACTAATCTCGCAACTGTCTATTAGCTTCAACGCAGCTCGACTGGCAACGCTCCGCTTTGGTTCAACACCAGTCTCTGTTTACTGTCATATAGGGAATTTTGGTTGTGGTGATGGGGTATGGACAACTGTCATGAAGATTGATGGCAGCAAGGTAGGTTGGATAATCATGATCAATCTAAACGGCTCGCTATCCTATACTAATGAGCATTATTCAGTCCATAATGGGGAAAAGGACCAAAAAACAAGTCTGATCACCTTCCCCTCTCTCCCTATAAAACGGTTTCTACATAAGCTTAATAAACATTTCTTAATTATTGGTCTCTATTTGCCACCAAAATTATTGGTCTCTATTTGCTACCAAAAACGTGAATATTATTTGGTTTGATTTCTAACGTTGAGTTTGAAATCAATTTATCCAGAACACATTCAACTACAACTCGGGATATTGGTCAGATAAAAATCAGTATAACACTGACGGAGGAAAGACTGGATTTGACTCACAAGAAACCAAATTGCATACCTACTGGGACACACCTTTCAACACTATTTGTCTCGGCATGAATTATGGCGGCCAGAGGCGATTTGTTGTCGTCAACAAGCAGGCTACCTCTCTGCACTTTCTGATCTCTGACGGACACTACCGCCCTACCTCTTTGGGTCGTGACATTTGGAAGCCACTAATCGGCTCAGAGGCCTCTTTGCAGTGGAACTGCAACAAAGAAGGATTCAACGTAGGTGGTTGTTATCATAGTGGTTGCGCTGTAGTAAGGATCGGCATCGTTTCAAATGAGCAAAATGACTGTGATTCATGTGATTCCAGGCTCGGATTTGGAGGTAGAGGGTCTCCCGATGACAGCATCACTTGCGGAAATGGTGCTGGATCCTATCCAGATAACGGTGACAAAAACATCAAAGCCATGGGTTACATCTTAGTGCAATGAGGTCCCCCCATCGACTTTTTCCCAATGGAGAAAGAATGTTTTTACTCTCGAAAGTAAACTTTGTGATACCGAATATTCTGGAATCAAATTACTTCTAGAAAACTTTGTAAAGAAGTTAGAGTGATTTCGAGACTGTATACAACATGCAGCATCCAATGTCATATACTAGCAGTCTTTATTAAGCCTATTGCTGCACTTACAATGCTTAAGTTTAATGTATTTTCTTTGAAGAACTAAATTATTTGAGGGGTATACTCTCAAGTAAAGTTCGTTGATCTTCCAGCTTCAAGCCTGATGCTGTGCGATAAATGCACGATAAGTGCACTATGCACATTTAGCGTTAAATTCAGAATTGTTAGGACAAACACATGTAGCGATCCTTCCCTTCCTTGCAAACTATCTGTTCTATGAAGGTCAAGTTTTATCGTATCCCTTCGTACCAGCTACGACAAAATGACCGAGGATTTTTTTCCCTTGCTAGTTGAGGAAAATGGAAACGTTTGTCTTGCACTGCACTCTTTAAAAGTATGACAAGGCTAGGTAAAAAAATAAAGGGAAGCGTTTTTCCTGGCTGATATTGTGACTTAGTGACAGTCTTTACTGATAAAATGTCAATAAAAGTATTAAGGTTAGATGATAGAGGCGAATGATAACTCATCTGAGTAAATACTTTGAGTAATTCTATAGAAATACCAGCCTCAGCCTTGCGAGATGACAAAATCAATCAGGATCACGATAGGCTGAATGGGTTCCTTAGAAGTTATGACTTGCCTCTGAAATCGATTGTAATAATGATAATTATGCTTTTATGCAAACAAAGAGGACAAACCCCCAGCGGCTTGGTTTTCGTCAACACCGGTTTTCAAATTTATCTGAACGAAACTAATTTAGTTTGCTGGTAAGCTGACAAGAAATATACGTTCACAGAGTTCATAATCAGTAACATGTTTCAGTGTCGGCTTTGGGCATTTAGACTGGAGGATCACAAAAGGGTTGAATTGTGGAAATAACGATTTCCTGATATCATAAACTATGTTGTCGTTTGCCAGCTGCTTGCTGACTTTCCATGGACTCTCTTCTATGATGCCCGGAGCAACTTGTGCTAAAGGTAACTCTTTTTTTACGTTTGTCAACTGTCAATGTCTCTGTAAATTACAGGGTGGTGAACGACTGTTCATTGTTCAGGTTTAATGTTAGGCATTTTGTCAGCAAAAAGTGCGAGATAAACTCGAAAAGAATCCCCTACCTCGCATGTTTTGCGAAGTAGCATAATTATTATCAAAATATCCACAGTTTGAATAAAATAGCAAAAATCTCATTTCGTTATCGAATGGTTTACCTGAATATTCTCCAATGAATTATGAAACGGGTAAACGATATCCAGCTAAACTTTTGTTGAGCAGACAGACAAAGAAAAAATTGTCTTTAACCAAATTACTCTCTACTAGCACACAATTTTCGAAATTGCTAAGATTTAACAATGCATTTTCCTCGGATAGACGATGGTTAAAATTGTGAAAATCTCTGAAAGGTGAGAAAATTTTACTTTTTTAACTGAGATTATTATTTCAACAATTTGGAAATGATTCCCTGGAGGTGTTGCTTTTAATATAGAGAAAGATAATGAAATTGATTTCACTTCTTACAAAGAAGGTGGATATTGACACTGCATGCCAAATAATTTATAGCAAAAAGCTAGTGAAAATATGGGGTACACAAGAATGCCACAGTAATAACGAATAGTTTTCCAAAAACGGAAATTTTTTTAGAAAAAAAATAAAAGGAGGAAGAAAGAACGATGGCGTAAGAACCCTAAAGGCTGGACACATACATAGATTTGTAACTGTTACAATTTCAGTTTAAAGTTCTATCATTATCTTGGCAATTTTCACCTTCAGATTTTATACTTGCGATCGTTGTGTTTAAAGTGGTTATATCAAAACTCTCCACCAATCACAGTTTGAATAGTTCCAAAACCAGTAATGTCTAATTTTAGAAATATTTAAGGACTACACTACTTTAACGTGTAAATTGATCCAGAGCTAGAATTCCATCTCTTATGGTTTCCGGTATTCATTCCGTTTTGTTAACGTTTAGCTGCGACGAATGCATCCCATGCATTTGTGAAAAACGAGTTTCGTTACCTGAAAGTTCGCAAGATTGGGGTGTTTATGGTGACGGACCTGTTTGACTGTGCGTTTGAGTGTCTACGTCTCTCGTCGTGCATTTCTGTAAATTTGGCAAAAAACGAAAAGGCTGCTGGAAATATTTGGTGCGAGTTGCTTTCTTCTGATAAATATCAAAACTCCCAGAAGTTCAGAGGAAACCAAACTTCGCATCATTTATTTAAAAAGCTAAACGTTTCAGAAGAACTAGCTAAAAGAGGCCGAAACTTGCGACACTTACGCATCCATAAGTGAGTCGTACGACAAAATGTTAGTTTCTTTTAATTGAATTTTAAGATTTTAACTGCAACAACAGCGGTCTTACGACAAACAAACAAACAGGCCAAAGAAACGAACAAAAGTAAACCAAATTGTTTAAAAACAACAACAACAGCAAAACACAACGAAACGAAACAATTGCGTTCTACCTGTCAAACAGTGAGGTCAAGCTAGCAATGAGTTCTTTAGGGCGTGAGTAAATTTAAAAATTTGAATTTAGAGTGAGTTACCAGCCTAGATGCGATAACCCGCCTATCCATACAATATTTTATCTTATTTCGATCAAGTTTACGTGATAGGTACGTGGGGTAACCCTTCTTGGCGGGTTGCCTAGTCTGTCGGGTAGGGTAACCCTTTTAAACGGGGGTCCCAATCTGCCGTGTAAACGTCTCAAAGTGGGGTGAGACCCTTAGCTGGGGTCGCGTCCATGTTACAGTTACAAGCCAATTAACAACCTCTTGAAACTTCATCCCGTTATCCCGGAGTTGTACATTGTATGAACACCCAAGCTACTTCTCGACCACGGCTAGGTGGATTACCTCACCTACCTGAGTTCCTCCTCCTCCCCCTTGTATATAGGCCTTCACTTCAGTTGCTTCACTTGTAATTATCAAATTCGTTTCAAATATTTGCCTCTCAAGATGTAATCCAGCTTTGCAAAGTTCAAATGTGATCACCTTATTCTGTTCTTGTTTCAGTCGCAATGTATTTTCACGCCTTGTCAAAACGGTGGTACATGTTTGGCAAACTATCAGGACGATGTATTCTCATGTCTTTGTAAAGATGACCTCATTGGAAAACACTGTGTAAACGGTAATAATTTATCTTGTGTTTGTTTGTTTTTTACACTATCTTTTTTAGGGAATGTAAGAGGGGGTAAAGGAGGGTGTGTGGGTCACTTACAATTTTGTTTCCTAGTCAAATGCGATTTTTAAACTCCTAATCAACATGTTTATGATACTCTAAGGCGCTAGAAGCTTGCTTGGTGTACGAACGTATCTTCCCATGTACCTTTTCAATGAACACACATTAGTGTGCATATAATCGCACGTGTATCACTACGTTGTACAGAGTATGTTTGGTTACTGCGGTATTAATAGAAGCCTTTTGTTTTACGTTCGTTTAGTTCAGTTTTGTTTTTCTGTCTTGATCTTACGTGTTGAATTTCAGGCGCAACGTCTGGCAAACAATTATTCGAAGCATACAAGTGAGTCTAATGATGTCGTTAGTTTTTTCTTTATCCTTACCTATACGGATTTTTTGCTCTGTTAAACATTAACCTCCTTGATCGGGTCTTTAGGAGGAACTCTAACTCGTCTCTTAGATGTAGTTAGCACGCCAATCGATTCATAAACGACGCCATATACGAAGCCAAAACATGAGTTGTATTTTCATAATAAAGTTATTTATCATTTATGACTAGATTTTCCTAGCTTAAATCATATTAGCCTGCAACTAATCTTGTAACCGTCCACCAGCTTCAATGCATCTCGACTGGCCACATTCCGCTTTGGCTTATAATTAATATCAGTCTTTATTTTCTGTTACACGGGCGATTTTGGATGTGGTGATGGGGTATGGACAACTGTCATGAAGATTGATGGCAGCAAGGTAATTTAAGAAGAATGTTATTTACTCGTGTAACAGTAACGTCTGCATCTGAAAGAATTATTACTCGAACAGCTTTAATGTACACTTCTGCAATGAAAATAATTATATGTAGCCCATTAAGATCCTATTCGGTATCTGCAGGATCCAATTTTACAATCGCTTTTCGTTTATTAACTCATCATTATCTTTTTTATGGAAATTTAAGTCAGTGCAATTTCTCACAAGCATCGTTTCTTTGCATTATGAGTGCCAAACACTTAAATTGCAATAACTATTATAATTATATTTTTGAAATTATTCCCACACAACAGTTGGGTCATACTTGTTTGTTTTCTTATGGACATCGTTGTAAGTCTTTAAAAGGTGGACCAGCCATCTCTCAATAGACCGGTCCACCAGCATTCTGCAAGTGCATGCCGCTACGAGACCCACGAAGCCGTTAGATGGAGAGTTACAAGCAGGACTACTATCCATGAAATCTAAAAATTAAATCCACCTGATAATTTAATGTCGTTTTAAATACTTTTATTATAGCCAGAACACCTTGCATTACAACTGAGTCTACTGGGGAAATACTCTTGAGTACAACCCACTTGGAGGAGGGACAGCTTTTGACGCACAGGAGACCAAGATACTGACATACTGGAATACACCATTCACTAAGATCTGTCTCGGTATGAAAACTGGCCAGCGTACAAACTTCGTCACCATCAAAAGGCCGGCAAACTCTTTGTATTCTTAGGTCGCTGACGGTAGTTATCGTTCCAATTCATTGGGTCGTGACACATGGAAGTCTCTGATTGGATCCAAGGATCTCTCCAGTACAACTGCAACAGGGAAGGCTTCAATTCAGTATGCGGCAAGCCTGTAGAGCCAGAATCGACGTTGTGTCTAACAACGAAAACTACTGCTCGAGCTGCGATTCCAGAATTGGGTTTGGTGGAGCAGGACACTCTGAAGACTCCAACACGTGTGGGAATGCTTATCAGTCTGGCATAAATGCTATGTGTTACATTTTAGTACAGTAACCTAGGCATCTGTCCACCTCAGTAACAATCAAACCAATTTTCAGCGAGGGGAAGTACTTTTGTACTAGTCTATTTTTCTGAAGCAAATGTGATTCTTAGAACATTAGTCGGGGTTGTCACTATTCACAACTATAAAAGTAGCAGCCTTAATTCTGATTTGGAATCCACGCCTCATAAGTTTGTACAATTGAGTATTTCTTTTTAATGCATTTCAGCCCTTGGACATCTGCCGCTTTAAAAGGGATATGAGTAAAGCTATGGGGCTCGTAAAGAAGAAAGACGATAGGGTCACGGGTGACTTTTCGCTCAGCGTTCCTGTACGCCTGCACACACATTACTAATAAAAAAAAAATCGAGTTTTTTTTCTAAATTTGTTTTCGTTTTGTTTCCTTTTTTAATGGATGGCATACCCCTTTTATCATGAACTAATCTCAGGGAAAAATTGAAGGAAGCTTTGAACTGTACACTTAAGAGTAAATCTGACAGACCGTTTTTCCTCCTTCCGTTTCGCAATCTTAAGACCGCAGCACATAAATGATATGTATTATCTTTGTACTGTTATCTAAACATTTTAAAGATGCCATTAAGAGTTTCTTCGTTTGTTGGTTTGTTTTTTGAAATCAGCGATCATTACCCTCAATACGATAACATTACCGTTTGATTCCATTGCGATACTGTTTGGTGAGACTGAATACTAGTTACTCTCGGTAGTGAAAAATTGTCGTTATAAAACGAGGCTCGCGTAACTTTGATGTCTCGTGTTGTAATAAGCCGTGCAATTGCAAAGTAGAAACAAAGCCGACTCCCCGCAAGCTTGGCGGTCCAGAACTTCGACGCACTGCTTTCATAGACATCTCAAACTAATTGCTCGAAAGGCTAGAGAATATCGATGGAATTTCATAGCCGTTTATCAACACAGTGATATATAAGAGACTCTATACTTAATTAACTTACTAAGAAAAACAAATAGTGAGCTGATGTTAAAGAGAGAAACATGTTTTGTATCGCTGCTTTCTCGGTTATTTCCCTTGAGCTGTCCGGAATAATGCTAGGAGTAACGTGCGAAAGAGGTAAGGATTACCTTTGTTATCTTCAATATACTTCTGAAATGCCATGTAATTGATAGGAAAAAGGAGAGAGTAGTGAGATATACGGTTGACAAATATATTATGCCTTACAACGAATCTTTTAATTCCTTAAAGCTAGAATTGTATCTGCCCTCAACATTTAAACAAAGAAGTTTAGCAAATCTTGCTCTTTCATCATCCAAGTTGACTGCAAGACGTTTCCTATTACACTTATGCCACTACTCGTAAGAGAACTCATAATACGACACCTACGAAACAATTTGCCTGGAACTTTACCCTTGAGAAAAACGCAGACGAGTAGCTATCTTTCCTATTCAGTTTAATTAAGTAGAGAGGGAAAGAAAAACCAAATAAATTAAAGAATATCTTATGCAGAATATCCCTCTGAAATATTCATATGTTTTGAAATCTTAGGAGTGTAGTGAATTACGTTCATTTGCCGCTTTATTTGAGTAATTAGTACGGTGGTTTTAGAAAGTGCGACGCATTCATCCATTCGGGGGAATTTATCATTTGTAAGCATTTTGGGAAGAAGTTGCAAAGGAGAAGTCCTTGGATTCAACCTCGAGAAAAAGAAGGTCGCGACTCATGCTCAGGGACTTATGATCACGATCTTTCTTTCTCAGCGGGACTTTATCTAATAATAACTCTCTTGCATAACAATCTACAGGATGCTCACCTACATCCATTGTTTAACACTTAATTGGGTTTCTGCTTTGCCTTATTTTTGAATCTGCAAATTTCTAAAAGGGTTTTCTCGATCACAAACAATAGACAGCAATTATAAACAGTGCCTTTCTGCTTTAGAAAGGTAACGCATTGACAATCAAAGATAATTTGACCTTGAATTTTGAACATTAATTGAAGTCTCAGCAGAGGTGGATGTCCTCCCCTGGGGTGGGATGGGAGGGAAGGTGAGATCGTTAACCGGACTGAAGCGACTGCCAGGGGCGCCTGATAATGCTGCCGCCCGATCTCAACCTTATCATTGTAACTAGACACGTTTGTTGTTTAGAGTGCTTAAGACTTTCTGACTTTCTACTATAATCAACACGTAAAAGCTGTTTTACCTATATGCCAGATGATATCAATCATTCAATTACACGAACCTTTAAAATCAGCTTCTCGTTCTGAGACTCTCAAATTAGATTCAGCAATGTAATTTAGTTGTTTTTTCTTGTTGATTTCCTTTTCTTGTTTGCTAGTAAAAGGAATTGAATTAAGATAACTTATTTTTCAGCCAGTTGTGATTAATAGGTTAAATATTCCTGTCAATGTCTTGAAGCAGCGTTTCAGTATTGATCCAGTGTTTTATCATTGTCGAAAACTTAACTAATTAAACGTGTGGGCAACATTTTATAAGCACACTTAGTACAAGGTAACGAGGACAATTGATAATTTCCTTTCCTCTTGTTTCCTGTCGTGTTTAGTTCTATGTTAATTTTACGACACTTGATCTATATTATCTCTAGGATGTCAGTGCAATTATGCGCACCTGCACACGACTAAAAATTTGGTGGAATTCGCTCTATTGATTGATTTTTTTTTTTTGATATGTGCTTTAACAGGGCAGGCGTTTATTTCCATGTTTCATTTGGATTGCATAGAAATATCCTAAAACTTGCTAAAAAATGGACTGAAATTGCCTTCTGTAATTCTCTCGCGCCTCGAGTATTTTAACAAATACTAATCTTATATTAAGATATTTAGTCTTGGGAAGCATAAAACAAACTTAGTCTTAATTATAAGGCAATAAATATCATGATGAAATGATTATTTTCCTCTCTTCTTACATCAGATTTGTTGCCTTTTTTTACTGCACTAAAATATATCCCATGGCTTTAATTTTTTTGCTCCCGTTATCTGGCTGCCATGGTCCAGCTTCATTTCCACATGTGTTAGAGTCATCAGGGCTTCCCGCCAAACCAAAACCGATCCTGGAATCAGGGCTGCCACAATTGGGTTCGTTATTTCCCAAGATGCCAAGTCTAGCTTTTGATCTCGCAGGTTGGGTCATTGAGTTAAACCCTTCCTCGTTGCAGTTGAGCTGTAAAGATGCTTGCGAGCCAATGAGTGTTTTCCACGTGTTTCTACCCAATGAAGTTGAGCGGTGTTGCCCATCAGCGATCAATGAGTTCAGAGAGTCGGCCTGCTTGTTAATGACAATGAAGTTGATTTTTTGGTTGATTTTCATACCGAGACAGATTCTGGAGAAGGATGTGTTCCAGTAGGTTGATAACTTTGTCTCGTGTGAATCAAACCCAGTGCCCCCTCCAGATGGCATGTATTCGATTTTGTTGCTCCAATACGCCGAGTCAAAATGAAATGTTCTCTGAAAATGCATGAAGTTTGCTCATTATTTTTAATATATATATAACAAATTGGCAGCCATGAAGATATTCAGTAAATATCAACTTTCATCCTTTTCACTCCTAGTTACAACGGGCGAAGACAGTCCACGCTATTACACCTAGATCTTAATGGCTTACAAAGCCGTTGAGTGGATCATAATCCATCAGTCATACAAATACGCTTATCTACAAAAAATATTAGTCTAGGAGCAACCTCCCGTTCAACCCTACCGTCGATGAGCTCCTACATTGAAGCTGCGAGGAAACGGTCGGCTAAGGGAAAAAACGTCCACTCAAAAAAGGTATTTTATAACAAGCAAACCTTGTGTCCGTCAATCTTCATGACAGTTGTCCATCCCCCATCGCCACATCCAAAATTTCCCATGTGACAATAAACAACAAATGGTTTTGAGTCAAGGTGTAGTGTAACCATTCCACTTAAAATCGACCTGTGAGAGTTAAACCAAACGAAAGTAGGACAAGTTTTTAAAGGTTTTGGTTATAAAAAGTATAACCGCTTATACCCTAGCCTCATACTTATTATTGTAAGAGATCAAAGTTTTAGGGCATCAGGAAAGAGAAACCACATCGACTTCTTAAGATTTAATGTTTTTTTTTTAAATTGTATATACGTATAGTTATTGTAACATTATCATTAAAAAAAGAGTCAAAACTAAAAAGCCAAACTCAAATGTAAATGTGTATCTTTTATTAAGGCTTGGAACCTCTTAAAATTTATGAATACTCTCAAGAATTTCAGTGTTTAGAATTTTTCAGTGAAAATTTTGTGACAATTGAAAGGCTGTCGGAAATACACCCAGAGAGTAATTTCATATGCTATGGAATTCCTATTTGGCGATTTTCCTTTTTTGCATTTGCTCTTTTCCTTTGAGGACGATAGTGCAAATGAGAGAAGATATTGACAGAGGTAGACTGGTTTATCTGTGAATCTCTACTCACGTGTTCCTGTCGTACGCCTCTTTACAAGTCATAGCTACAGGACAGAAAATACTGATTTTATTTCACGTGTCTTTACTTTCACGATTAATGCTATAAAGCTGAGCCAAAGTATGACAGAAATGTCTTGAAAGAAAGAAATGGGCCACGTTAATACCATAATACGCTACTTCTTCGGGAAATATCCAACCCTGTTTGTAACGACTGATCCCCTTCCGTTGGCCGTGAAAAGCATGTGATGCCTGTAAATTCCTCCACCACCTTACCTGGTATATGGCAATCCTCTCCATAATATCCTGGGCGACAAATGCATTGGTAAGATCCCTTGCTATTTTGGCACTCGTGAGTGGGCTTACAATTGTGTGTAGCCTCACTGCACTCGTCAATATCTGAAAATAAATTCAGAGCTTCAGCACTGTATCAAGATCAGTTCGATAATTGCGCGCTCAGTTCACTCGTGCCAAAGTATCCATCCCACAACTTAAATCATGCAAAGATACAGAAACCAGACAATTTTGATTTATCTACATCTACAAGGAGTGGCAAAAGTAGTTGGCACGCCTCCCCTGAGTTGATGATCCACAAACCTTCATTCAGATAGAATTTTTGTAATTCTTGACAAAACGTTTCTGGATAGTTCCCCTCTCCCCATTAAAGCGTTCATGTTAGGTCCATAAGACGTCCCATACATATTATATCCTATAATACAAAGTACAATGTCCATAATGTTCCCTTAATGAAGTATATTCTATACGCAAGGCTAAAAGATTAAGAAAAAAATTATTAAAATGTTTAAACCAAACGTTTTCGGCTGTTTCCCATCATCAGGGTTCGCAAACAGTCGAAAACGTTTGGTTTAAACCTTTTGATAATTTTTTCCTAATCTTTTAGCCTTGTATATAGGAAACACAAAGTACAATATTCATGTATAATGTACAATATGATGTAGCTAATACCTTTTTACCCTGTTAACCCCAATCTGCCCTAAGCTAGCCATGTTCTACTGCGTTAACCCAAATCTGCACTTATTAACCATGTCCTACCACGTTGACCCTCATTCACCCTAAGTTACCCTTGTTCTACTAGGTTAACCCCCATTTAACCAAAGCTCGCCATGTTCCCACGTCAACCCTCATCGACCCTGTGCTAGCCATGTTCTACCACATGAACCCTCGTCGACCCTAAGCTGGCCATGTTCTATCACGTTAACCCACGTCTACACTTAATTAACCATGTCCTACCACTTTAACCCCTATCTACCCTAAGCTACCGATGTCCTACCATTTCAGCCCCCACTTAATCTTGACTCACCATGATCTACAACATTTATCCCCATCTACAATAAGTTACCCATGTCCTACCACGTCAGCCTTCATTTAACCTTGGTTATCCATGATCTACAACATTTACCCCCATCTACTCTAAGTCTCCCTGTTCTACCGCGTTGACCCAATCTAACCTTGGCTAACCATATTCTACCGCGTCAACCCCCATTTAACCTAAGCTAGCCATGTTCTACCATGTTAACCCTCATCGACTCTAAGCTTGCCATGCTCTACCACGTTAACCCTCATCTACTCTGAGCTAACCTTCTTCTTCCACGTTAACCCCTATCTACTCTGAGCTAACTTTCTTCTTCCACGTTAACCCCCATCTACTATTAGTTAACCACGTTCTTCCACGTTAACCCTCCTCTACCCTTAGCTAACCATGTTCCAGCATGTTAACCAACATGTACCGTGGTAGAACATGGTTAATCAAGGTTAAATATGGGTTAACGTGGTAGAACAAGACTAACTTAGGGTAGACGAGGGTCAGTGTGGTAGAACATGGTTAAGTTAGGGTAGACGAGGGTTTACTTGGTAGAACATGGTTAGCTTAGGGCAGATTGGGATTAACGTGATAGAACATGGTTAACGTAAGGTAAATGGGAGTAAGTGTGGTAGAACATGGGTAACTTATAATAGATGGGGGTTAAGGTGATAAAACAAGGCTAACTAAGGTCAAATGAGGGTTTTTGTAATAGAATATTACTAACCTAGGGTAGATGAGGATGAACGTGGAAGGACATGGTTAACTTAAGGTGGCTGAACACAGTTTTTGCGTGCACATGGATTGCAAAAAACAAACATACCGTCAGTAGAGCGGTCATTTATTTACTCAAAACGTACCCGCACTATCTTTGCTAATTTTCTCTATAGTTGGCGCACTGTGTTGAGGGCTTTAATCTTTTATTACAAAGATATGTTAAAAATGTTAACGGTGCAAAGAAACCAACAATTCTCAGCTTTTTCGTCGCTACCGAAAGAATCCAGTTAAATGCAAGGCATGCGTAGTAAGTAAAAAAAATTGCGATTGAATGGAAAATTGCTTTCTCGGAAATATGCCTATTTCTTGAGAACCACTCATTAGAATTTCACGCAATTTGGCTCGAAACTACTTTAGGAAATGAGTAACTGGAGTATTGAAAAAAATTGATTTTAAACAAAGGAAACTGTAGAAAATCGAGTGAACCTTCAACAAGGGATAATTACAGATCTCTGTTAAATTGTTTGCAAAATGGTGTTAACTCGTGAGTATCGTTACAAGCTTGTTGCAGGCAAATTACAAAGAAAATCTAATGACTAGATTTTCTACAAAAAAAAACAAAACCCATTTTAATTGCCTGTTTATATCTATTCATGTCGCCATGGAAACGGCAAATACGTCAGCTTAGCTCTCGAAAAAACAAAGTTTGTGTTGTTAACTTGCTTGCTGCCAGTTTTGGCGACCGAGAGATCAAGGGTTTTAGAGAAAATGGGGAAAGAAACAAAGGTATCAAAAACTGTGTTCAGCCACCTTAAGGTAGGTGGGGGTTAACATGGTAGAACATGATTAATAAAGTGTAGATGAGGGTTAAAGTGGTTAGCTTAGGATACACGGGATTAACGGGGTAGAGCAATGCTAGCTACGACATATTGTACATCATACCTGAATATTGTACTACTTTGTATCATGGGATATGATATGTATGGAGGGTCTTATGGGCCTTACATGAACGCTTTACCCTCCCCCCTCCCAAACAAGGTGTTCTGGTGATGACCATTTTGTACAAATAAACCACCAACTCCAGCACCGAGCTACATTGAAATGGAAGAGAAAAGGAAAAAACAAGAGTTACTAGAAAAAATTAAAAAAGAATAGGCTTGCCTAAGTCAGAAGTAGAAAGTTCGTCAATCTTCCTGACTTCCATGTTTGTATGTTTATCTATAAATTTTATGTCATCATACCTTTATTACAATGACGAACCATGAAATAACAAAGACGTTTCTTCATTACCTGCTTCGCACCTCGCACCCTTGAATCCAGCAGGACACAGACAGCGGTATCCTTTATCGGTAAAACCACTTTGACAAATGGCGTTGTTCATGCAAGGATTTTCAACACAAGCACTCTAGAACGAATGAAAACCATGAAACAGAAAATAGGTGGTTCCTTTATGGCTATTTGCATCACAAGCTTTTTTTTTTTTTTCAGATATCAGCTAATACCAGTACGGATTTGCAAGAAAAAATTGATGGTGTGATGAAACTTGTAGCCGGTCCTTAGGAATACAAACCTGAAAACATTTAGATGAAAAAAGGGGAGGTGACTAGATATTGTTATAAAGCGTTCACTAAGATCTCCACTAACTAAATTGTAGTTACCTCAGATGCATGGTAGAAGAAGTTTTTCTCCTTAACCCAATCGCTTTCGTAACCTTCGTGTGTGACATTATTTAATTCACATTTGTATTTTCCGTTTCCACCCGCTTGTTTTTCAAAATTGATGCTGACACAGTTGGGTTCCATATAACACATAGTTTCGCAGAACTCCTGTACCATAACTTCAACGATGCGGATCACATGGTTTTTGAGACGTTTCCCGTCAAAAGCTCCTTCAGGACCGAACTTCAAATGACGGCATTGGTCTGCATCAGAGAACTCTTAAGATATGAAGGGTTTCAGTAATGCGTTTTAGATGAACAAGGATAAAGTATGTATTTTAAAGGATAAGAATTCTGTCTAAATGGAAATTATCCCTCACAACTCCCTATTTCCGTAGTAACGTTTAGGGCTCTGTTCTCACTGCGCAGGTTAAATTTGGAAACGTCCTTATTCACTCTTAACCAAACGTAAAGTTCATTTCGGCACTGAAGACTGATTAATGCTTTCCACAGACGCTGAAATGCTTAACAGCGAAAAAAAATAAAAAAACAACTCGGATGTGCTTTTTGAGCATGTTGCTTTTTCATGCTATTTTGGCAAGTTGCAGCCTAATCAATGGAATAATAGGACCTGCGCTGCACGCAATCCAAAATTACTAAAATTAACTTTAAAAAATTGGATACGCTTTTTGAGCATGTTGCTTTTTCACGCCATCTTGGCCATGTTGGAACATAGTCGTTGGAATAGCACAAACTACACTGCACATCACCCACGATTAATTAGGTCTTACTGGTAAAGTAAGTGCCGTGTGGTTGAATTCGAAGAATATGCAGCATCAGGGTGTAAAGGCAGCTGTTCGACAGTCATTCCAGACTTAACGATGTAATTATGTACTGGAAAACTAAGAAGTTTACCTGTGAATTTCCTGAAAATGTGATACGATTCTTAAAGCGTCCTAACACTTAAAAGCGTTTCCTAGAGTCGATTCTGACACTGATCTTGCTATCTCTTTTGGATTTGAGAATTTGAATTCGGTTTAAAGAAGGAGAATTCGATATTGAAAAAGTTTCAAAACTATTGGGCCTGATATCGATTAATAAATGTTTGTGGCGACACAAAAAGTAGCAGTGTCATCGTTTTTACTGATGAATATATCAAAATGTTTCCTTTCCGCACCTTTCTTTTCAAATGGAATTCAAAATGGCATGGATTATAGTCGGAAGTATATTAGATCGATGCTTACAGATAGCTGCAAACATCAATTCCATAGCCAATTCGTTAAAACCGATATATTTAAATGGAAAACATACATAAACATCTAGCATAATTAAATAAAAAAAAACAAACAAACAAACACAAAGGATTTTCGTCGCTACTGACCATATGAATCGACAGTCTGTAGTTTCATGACGCAAAGTTCCATCAAAAGAACAAAGGTAAAAACAGTATACATATTGATGTATTTTGACGCGTAGTATCTGGTGCTCTGCCAAGTTCAATAAGTGAGTGCATATTGCGATGGGAATTTCTAAACATTGCTCTAAATTGCTCAGAGTATTATTTTCTGCGGAAACATTTTGTAAATTCGATTTCTTTGGAGCATTTCTATGCCCCTCAAGTGAGATATTATAGATGCTCACTATAAATATCACCTTTGTAGGAGATTAGATGTAAGGTGAAATATATGCGCTTTCACTTAAATCATTTTCGAATATCTGAATGGTTTATTGATATAAGCCTGGTAGTTGCAGCTTAGTCTCTCTCAGAAAAAAAAAAACAACAAGAAAGCTTGAGTGTTGAATTAGAAAATTTTTTTGCTTATATTGCCTTTTGAAAAGAGGCTTTTGTAGCTGTTGCAGATATCGGAATACAAGTTCTTAGAAAAACGCGCCACTCAGTATATTTTCTTTTTCCTTTTCTTTCTTTTTGTTTTGTTTTGTTTTGTTTTGTTTTGATTTTCTCTTTGTTTTGCCTTTTATTTTGTTTTGCTTTATCTTAGGTTTTTTTTTTCGCTTTTCTGTTTTCGCTTTTTTGTAAAACGATAACATTATTATAGTTTTTCAAGTGCAATCCGTGTGAATCCTCGCCGTCCCCAACCAACGTCTTTCTTCATAAACTTCACCAATTTTTAACAACAATCACTGTTGACTAATTTGATGTTAAATGCTCCTTTTAATTGCTTTATCGTGATTTAGTTAAGCTCGATCTTCCGTTAACTGACGGACGCCACAATCAACTCAAAACTAAATTAAAGAATATATCCTATAGCTACATTTACTCGTATGACTTTTCAAAGCATACGAACATTCTAAGCCAAGACGAATGGAAAGCCTTAATTGATTTACGCAATCATGAGAGCATTATCATCACGAAACCGGACAACGGAAATGGTGCAGTGTCAATTAGCAGACTTGATTATCTTAACGTCTTATCTTCCGTCTATCTACACGGAAGTCATCTCTCACAGCCCCTTAATTTTTATAGCAGACTCAATAAAATTATTATTACCTTTGTTTTTAATTTCTTAGTCACTATTAGCCAAAATTAAGGCTGATTTTGGCACTGAAGACAGATAGATGTTTTCCCCACACATTGATAAACTTAACAACGAGAAAAAAAACTTGGATGCGCTTTTTGAGCATGTTGCTTTTTCACGCCATCCTGGACATGTTGGAACATAATCATTGGAATAGCAGAAACTTCACTGCACACCATCCAAAACTAATTAAGTCTTACGGGTAAGGTAAGTTCCATGTAGTTTGTTGAGGCTATTCCTCAACAAGGTTTTATGTTAGTCCGTTCCGTTCCTCATTTTTTTGTATGTCACGTAGACCACAATCCTTCAGTAGTAATTTTTATTTTTCTACCCTTTTTTTCCGCACGTGGTGAAGCGCTTGTAAATAGTTTAGGTACGTCAAACTGTTTCTCTTCTTTCGTTTACCGCCTTTCATCATGTGGTTTTTACGGCTCCCTGAGTCTCGTAGTTTATGATGAAAGGGCGACCGGATGGTTTTGTAAACATTGGAATTCTTCGCCGTCATTAGATTCGTCGGTTTAATGAGCTGTTCTGTTGTTATTCGACATCGACGCCGCTATATGTGTCCGACCCGGACAGAGTTGAAATTTAGGAATATGAAGCATCCTGCTGTAAAGGCAGCAGTTCGACAGCCATTCTAGACTTAACGAAGTACCAGTAATTTTTTTTTTTTTCCCGGCAAACTGAGAAGTTCCATTTGGTAAAGCGTTCTAACATTTAAAGGTTTTTGCTAGGGCCTTTTCTGACACTGATCTTACTATCTATTTAGGATTTAAAAATTTGAATTGGATCTAAAGAAGGACAACTCGTTATTGAAAAAGTTTCAAAACTAGCGGGCCTGATATCAATTAAGGAATCTTTGTGACAGCACACAAAAAAGTAGGAATTTCATCGTTTTTACTGAAAAAATTTTAAAATGTTTCCTTTCCATGCCTTTCCTTTCAAACCGAATTTTAAAAAGGTGTGGATTGTAGCCGGGAGTATTTTAGATCGATCCCGACACTGCGATAGCTGCAAACATCAATTCCATAGCCTGCGCACCATCATAGAACCAAACTATCTCAGAGGCAACGGACATAAACATCTAGCATAGGAAGTAAAAAAAACAAATGACAAACAAACACAAATTAAAGCCAGAGGCAAAGCTTAAATCAAAATACTACAACAGGAAAAGCGTTATTGTTGTTAAGACGTTGATATGATTTTCGCCGATACTAACCTTGTGATCCGAGAACCCTGAATTTTATGGAGCAAAGTTCCATCAAAAGAACGCAAATAAAAAACAGTGTACATGACCGCATCGTTCAACACTTATTTAATTCAGTTACTTCAACTTAATACAATTAAAGCTTATTAAACCCTAACCTGCATTAATAATGATTTATTTTGACGCATATTATCAGGTGCTCTACCAAATTTAATAAATGTATGCATATTGCGATCTGCGTCTCGTAAACATCGCTCTAAATTGATCGCAGTATTTTTTTCTGTTGAAATATTTTGTGAATTCGATTTCTTTTAAGCATTTCTATGCTCCTCAATTGAAATATCCTAATACTCCTTATGAATATTACCTCTGGAGAAGAGCAGATATGATGATTACTCGATAAAATTATTTTTTAATATCTGAACGGTTTATTCATATAAGCCTGGCGGGTTAGGTTCAGTCTACATTAGAAATATATGATACTCCTGCTGAGATGAAACAGTTGGATGATTCCCTCGTTTTCATTAAATCAACAATAGGTCACTGCTGATGTTCTCTCAGCGA